GAGGACGCGCCGTAGTCAGGAGAGGCCGTATTAGATGGTAACACCGTACGGGTGGCAGAACGGTAGGATTTTATCTACAAAAGAGGTGGCATCATTGGTATGCTCTTGCCATTGGTCGGGGATGATACGATTCTTTTCAACGGTACGACGCAACGGCTAACGACTCGGCGGGGGGGCCAGTTACTCTGTGGATGCGCGTCAGTAAGGTGGTTAGCAAATTTGAGAGACAGTTTTTAACCTAACAATATATTATAAGTGATTGATTGCGAAGATTGATATTAAAAGTGAAAAGCATAGACGATAACTATAAAATTTAATATGATATTTAAGTACCATTTGGATGGAGGATGTAGAATGGAAATTATTATGTTTCTAATATCAGATTAAAAAAATCTGTAATATTTCTTTTATAATTTGTTATGTTACTTACAATCATCATGCAGCACGCGTACCCTGTCGTCCCTGGTAACCCTGACGCCCCCTGCTGTCAGCAGTTGCAGATCTCTGGCTCGCTTCCACAGCACGGGCCGGCCGCGCGCTCCGAGCACCACGCACGTCAGCAGCGCATCCTCGCCGCTGCGCACCGCCACTCCACCTGCCGGTGCCCGCATCCATGCCTCCTTTGGTACCCACTCGCCCTCTTCTTGTGATGATCCCGTGGACTCGCTTGCGCTCTCCACTGAATCTACTTTTGTTTCTAAACAAAGATATAAAATCAGTTATAGAGTGGACATTCGAAACTATTTCCCTAAACACAATATTCAGTAAATGCCACTTCTATTACGGTGATGTAAAACCAGACTTGTTACATAGTAATACCAAGAAATTACGATTTGGTTTGTCTATTTCTCTTCTATTGATTCATGGTTTGAATGTCTTTGTGCCTTAAACAAAGAGAAACATATCTTACTACTCTCTCAATACCACATTCTCGAGCAAAGATTTTTGTCTTATTATTTACTTTAGCAGAGATTTATTTTTAAATTAATTTGTAACATTTTAAGGTTACAATTTTGATACATTAAAGTAGATAATTGTAGATCATTAAAAGGGTCTGAAACTTTCTGAGTGACGTTGTGAATGATATTTACATATAAGAGTTCATTTCCCATGAGTTTGAAGGCATATCGTATGTAACGAACGAGACTTCACGGCGTAATTAATATGATTTGTATTTCGAAGGGTTGAAGAGTTTTCAAACTGGTACGGAGCGTTATATTAATCGCCTTCAAAACGTTTCCGTTGTTATTTGAAATATCGAATATTTAGAAGAAAACTCCACATTCTTACGCTTGCGAGTTACATTTCGTAGCTTGTTGATATAAATCGACGTAATAATTTCCGATAATATCAAATAGTCAAGTACCTAACTTTCATATGCACTTTCTCACATACTCGTATATCTATTAGTTACGGTTTATATGGTATTATCAGCTTTCGCATTGTCTAGAGGCGTGATGTGGAAGCAATTCTGCGTTCTGTTTAATCAGTGTAGTTCCAGAGCCAAATGTTTATACTTTTCCTCTTCCTAATGTTTTCTTATGAGGAAAGGATGGGAAAGACTTTTAACCATATACAGGTTGTCCAGAAATGAGGTGTACAACGGAGTAGCCCAGACAGATCAAGGAATCTATAGTATTCCGTTGTACACGTCATTACCGGACACCCTGTATAATACGGTTAGATTACTGAGTGTGTATGTATGGATAGAGCCTCACTACGTTTATCTTATGGTTGATATATTTAAGTGGCTGCAGCTCGCGATAAGAAAAGAGCGACTCATCCGCGGCGTGACTACATACTTTTGTTTTCTTTACGAGTACATTGATACATACTGTTGTCTTGAATGGCGAATATTCAAATTTAACAATTTTTTATATTGTGGGCGAGATATGATCTTGTTAAAGTTGCGCATATTTATTTTAAACGGCATTAATTCTTAAATTTAGCTCTAATTAGGAAAGTAAGTCACGGTACAATGATTATTGTTAAAATTAAACTTTGCTTTGTTGCTAATATTCAACATATAATTTCAGTCACAATATTTATAGATTTTTTATGAAGGTTATATTATTAGTGATAGATGATTTCTATGCGTTATTATTTAATTAAATTAACCAAATTTAATTCTTATAAGTAACAAAATTATAACTTTATATGTAACATATCTGAAAACGGTATTATTTCGCGTACATTTTACTCACATTTCAATATTTGTTATTAAACTTCGCCGTAGTCGCTCCATAATGTTTGGAAAGTAATTAACGGGAGAGTAACTTTGTGATTCCTCTGACACACTGCCGACTAGTTTTCCTAATATTATAAAGGTTATAATAATATTCATGAATAGAACTAATTTTGATTCTAAAGTTCGAACGTTACTTCTTATACAAAGAGTTTATTTTAAAATCTATATTAAATTGTATTTCATAAAATAAATTATTAAAATAAATATTTTGATAAGTAATAGATACCTCTTTGAAGCGAATAAGAATTTAACAAATATGTTTCTTGAGAATTTCAAGATTTTAGATTCCCTGATAGAAGATCTGTTTGCTAACTAAATAGTCCGTGTGTATCATCAGAGAAGGGATCCATTAACTTTATTTGCTGACATTTCGGTCAAACTAAAAGAGGTCGGCCATCGGCAGATTGGAATGATGTATTGTTCAAACAATTCATTTGGTAACAACTTACTCGACGTCGACTCACAATGGAGGAGTCCGCTTTTGTTGGTCACTACTAGATTTAATGCTGTCAGACATCTTGAACATTAATATTGAAAATTGGATTGTTAGCTCATAACATATATATTTATAACAAACATCATAGTAAGTAAGTAGTAGCTTAGAAGGTTGGTCACGAATCTACTAGTTACATTCATGGTTGTAATAAGATGATTAGATTAACCGTGGGCTTCTGATATCAAAATCTCGTTACAAAACATATCATCGTATCTTCTTTCATCTTTATCAAAACAGAGATAACATTATTTTTTAAACAGGGATTTCGGTCTTGGAAACCTACTGTAAATAATTCTCCCTCATACTAAATCATTGTCATAAACATTACTGTATCATATTACAATTTGAATTTTCATGTTTCGAATCAAATGTATAGGCGTTCGCTTGGAAATGGACAGGCTTTTGTTTTATTCTGATTTAACCGCGCCTATTGATGTTACGTGATAGTTAATTCTATTATATATTTTTTTTCGTTTTAATAAAAATATTAGCAGATTTTTTAGTAAATTTACTAATATTTCTTTTACCATTCCAATTAAGCTCTAGACTTGTGCTAGGATATGGTTTACGACAATAGTCCAATGGAGGGATTCGAACCCCCGACCTCGTGATCGGAACACCGTACCCTTTACCATTAGGCTATTGACGCTTTTTTACTTATATTATTAGTTTGAATACCACCGCTACAAAGCGCTACCATCATCGCCAAAATGGCGAAAATCATATAGGCACAAAATACCATGACTTATAACCAGTCGATTTAGAGGTTAGGACAAGTTAAAGAAAGTGTACTAACCATCACCAGCTACCAGGGTAGCGAGTAATGCCACACACGCCGCCGTTGCCGCCGTCACCGCCGCCGCTCTCATCTGCAAATTCACATTCTGATAAGTAAATCAGCACCGCGACTGCTAACCTTAATAGGGTAAACAGTGTATTTCACTAAGGTTATTAAAAAGTATTAATCCAAAAATATTATTGCAAAATTATTGTTGAATAAAACAACGCAATTCACTGGCAATAATAGTTAAATTAGATAAAACGTATTATGATTTCTATCTGTTTGTAAATCGTAATAAATAATTTTTTTTGTTCAATATAAAAATGTTGTCAATAATAGAGATATCTTTTGATGCGACCAACAAAGACATCAAAGATAGAAACCAAAAAAAATGAAGATAAAAGACAATGATTAAATCATTTTGTTTTAGATGTGACAGACGTTCTTTATTGCGGTCGTCCCGAGCCGCGGTGATGACGACGGACCTATTTACTTTCATTGTACCATAGACATCATTTGATTTTTAAATTAAAAGTGAAAAATTCTGATGAATGACCCAATTTTCATCTTTGGTATTACAAAGTTTTACGTTAATTGACTGTCTTAATTACAGACTAATAACTAAGGGCGTAGTTTACGAGTAGTATCAGATATTGACTGTACTTACTGGAAACATTGTACAAAGGCGCAGATAATTTGCTATACTTTTATTCTTGGTAAAAATTCTCATAAAGACGAAACATGAAAATCCGAAAGATTTGAAAACGACAGCCAATTAAAATGAAACTCGCAGCAAATTCAATTGAAAATGTAACTGACACGAAGGCTGACTTTATTAGAGCCAAGAACGGAGTTATCTTGTAGAAAATCTTCGCAAATAAAACATGACAAGAAATTGAGGATTCAATTAAAAATATAGATTTTTAATATAATCATAGTATGGTATTTAAAATTTACAAAAGCAATGATGACAAAATATCACTGAATGAGCAACATTAAAAACTTCCATTTCATCTCCCCAATGTTTAAACAGTATTAAAACTTATCGATGGCAACATTATTGTAAGTGGCGATTCCATTCCCGCCAGATGGCGTTGTTAACCGAGCGGTTAAATAAATTAACTTCTTTGTTCGAGAAGTGACGCCTAAGATTCGATAATTAAATCCCTCCGGGCCTTCCCTTTCCGGTTGCCGGCCATCGACAACATTCAAAGGAATGTTGCGGCGCCAATTTGTGGCGGGAACGGCTTTTTTGACAATTCATTTCTCTCTCCGCAATTTCGCTTTCAATGACCATTTTCATATTTTATTGGTCAGTCAATGGAAAATGGGTAAATAAGAAAAAAGCAGATGGAAAATACTATCTTACTTTTTACTATAATATTATAAATGCGAATATTTAGATGGATGGATGGATATCTACGAAATGACTTTACTTGTTTAGCTGTTTTCTGATGATTCTGATTTATTAAGTTTTCTTTTAAATTCGAACCGACGGAGTCGCGGGCGACAGCTCGTATTTAATAAAATTTAAAACTATATTGAAATCAGTCTTGGCGGGAAACGATTTGCAACAGTTTCCCGCCAAATTCATATAATAAATCAAGATGGCGTCATGCTCATATAAGCGATGAAACGATTGATAAATAGTAAAATAATTTATGATGCGTATCAAACGCGTTCTAACTTTAGTGTCTTCGAATAAATCCGAGATAACAAAATAAATTTCTTTCTATCGCGATCATATAAATAATTCAGTGGGAGGGACGCGGGAGGCATCGACGTGAAATATGGTGGCCGCGATGTGAGACCAAATAAATATAACTCCAGCCTCGATATTTCCTTCCTTCGTATTTTTAAAGAAAAAAAATATTTTAAGGAAAAATCCATTAAAATGTAGCATGGGGTGTGCCACTTCTGGTTAATACGATGGATATGTTTATACCACGTTGGGGTTCCTTGGAGGAATCAGTTACTAATTTTCTTTTTATTAATGTTTTTATGGCCGTTGCTTTAATAAACTGATATTAAGGTGTGTTAAAAATTCTGTAGTTGTCATTTAAGATGTTGCTCGAAACATCGTCACCGTAGAATAAAAATGTGGTAATTAACAATAAAATTGTATTGAACACACAAGCCATTCTTTATCGTTTACAAATGAAATTACCAAGGTGTTAAATGTACGGGACCCGAGGTAATAAGTCACGGTGCGAGCTTGCCTCTATTTATTTGGCGCAGGTCGACGCAGGGCTTGCGGTTTGACACACACTTGAATAATGCTCAGTGAAGACGAATTTACGATTTGCGTGTTTTTTCTCTTAAATCATATATATTATCTTACAATAAGAGATTGGAATACGTCTTTTACGAGATTTAAAGTCTTCCGGTTTGTTGATCATTATTTTTGTTTGCTTGTTATATTTAATATCAAATATTTGCACAAATATATGCTACATTTTAATGTATATTGTTTCGTTTATAAACTGTACATAGAACTTTTTTTTGGAAAATGAGACAGTTTTCGATAGCGGCTCTAAATATATTTTCTATAAAAATAGAAAGTAAACATAATTACCTTTGGCATTAGGGTTGCTGTACCCCCTTTTAGTATTTAGTTAGCTTGATGGTTGCATGCGAAACCTGGAACAAAGAAACATGATTTAAATAACTAAATCAATCTCTAAAAAATCTAATCTGTAGATGAATGTGTAAAAGAAACTGAGAAGTGTGGCAACGTCGCATCAATAGTAATAGCTATTGCCTACCTCTTCGGGCTTCATTTAATTTATTTATATTTATAAATTGAATTATGTATTAGTATTGAGCAATTTCTTATTCATCTTAGAGAATTTCAATTTGGCCGCGGGTCGGACGGTCGTACATGTATTACATATTTATTGGGGCGCGGCGATACTCCGACTTTCAATTCCCCGCAAATGGCGGACTGTTTCCAAATTTAATCCACGAAAAATCCAATAGCCACCACTTCTTGACCCCGAAACGTTAAGTTTGGGACACACTGGACGGTAACTCAAATCACTTGATAATTAATAGAAATTACATTTTTTAATCTAATTACATTTTTGATACTTACATATGTACGTCATAAAATGCAATGCTAATTGGAAGTTCAAAGTTATATCTTTTTCAGACACTAATTAAGGCATTATTTATTACTAAGATATGATACATAAAAAAAAAATGAATAAAGGCCAAAGTGTATCCCCATCCTAACAACTTAGAGTAATAGAAATAAATCGTAACATAGGCAAAGTCTCCAGCCGTATCGCGCTTGCGGACATTGTATTGAAAGGGGTCAAATTGACCCTGAAATTATATGGGCTGTTTAGTAAAATTATGCGACCGCCTGCGTGCCCAGGTCGGGGTCGATCGTTTTTTATTCGATACATCATGATAACCGCTTCCAACGATACTTTTTCAAACGCTAAGCGTTAACGAAATGTTAATATTAAAGTTTAATGTAATATAAGCTAAACCCAAAATAACACCACAATAGCATGAGTTAGAAATTGTTATGAATTATGAAGTAAAGTTGATTTACCTTCTAAAAACATGCATAAATCAAAGTAAAAAGCGCCTGATGAAAAAATGCAGCAATTTGTCGGCGAACGTGCACTTTGCGGACATTATATTATTTTATTTCTGTCTCTGCGCTTTGCCATTCTCTTTAAAACGAAACCCCCGGCCGACAGTTTTAAATTAAAGTTTTACGAAAACTAATGAAAGCGTCCCGTGTTATGTTATGTAGGGCGCGAATGGAGCCGGCTTTTTATACGACTTTTTTTCGCGAAGCGGGAACACTTTTAAAAGTTATTTTCAGAGGCGATTCGCGGGAAAGTATTTCAAATTTCAAAAATATGTTCTTTCGTTACCTCTAAAGATTTCTCCGTGTTCCAAATAACATTTAATAAATGTGTCTTTAACCGTAAATTATTTCTTTGTAAAATAATTAAGCTATATTAGTAGTAGTTTTTTTTTCATATTTTTAAAGACCGCAGCTGCAAATTATGCTGGCTTGTTATAAAAAAATATATATTATCCGAACCGCCGCCTTAATAGAGCATTCGGTGTCAAATTTGAAATTCCAATAGATAGGGGGAAATCTGATATGAATCGATAGCTTCAGAATATGAGCAAAATGTTATACCTGAAAAAACCTGACAAAGAGACATTGATTTACGAAGTCAAAGTAAAAAATAGTATAGAATATATTCCATCCAATGATTGCTGTGTTTTTAAAACAAAAAATAGGACAGGTGTAATGATGGCTCAATTTGATTACTTTTTAAATTTTTAACCTGTTTATTTTTTAATCTGTATGATTCTTTGTTTCGCATTTGTTACAGTTTCAGATCCGCCGCCGTGAATACTATGTTTTCAGAAGCTTCAGGCCATTGTGAACTTTGCATTGTTTCGTTAAATTTAATTAAGATTAAGTAGAAAATGACTACTTTATTTTCTTCGCGTATTTGTTTTATTTAACGAATTAAATTATTACACGTACTGTCAAAGTGACCTTGTAGTGAAACGTAGCTGACTAAGAATAATTTTTAATGTGATTTAATATAAAATTATATTTCGGAGACGGAGTCGCGGGCGATAGCTAGTAATTATATAAAATGCTTTACCAAAATGAAAAGAGCCATCTACATATCTTTACATTTTGTAACGACGGGTCAGGCGAAACTCTTCGAAAAGTTTTCTTTGCAAAGAATAAGATGAGGGCGTAATATTGCTTAATCTGCGGATCGTCGTCGCTTGTTATTTGTATCTAAGATTATTTTTACGATCCCCTAACAAGTCAAAGTAAGAGGTACTTTACACAAGTATCCAGTCGAGAGTTTAGGAACGGCGAGTCATTATAAAAGTTTACGATGTAGGTCGCTGCGGACATTGGAATACTGATAACTTTAAAATGAACATTGAAAGTTTTATTATAATAATGAATATTATATTAATTATTTTTACGGTTCCGTCCCTTGAAAGGAAAAAACGGAACCCTTATAGGTTAACTATGTTGTCCGTCCGTCCGTCTGACTGTCAAGACCCTTTTTCTCAGGAACGCGTTAAGGTACCAAGCTAGAATTTATTTGATAATATAATACAGACGAGACAAGCAATAGTTCCATCCATATTGATTTTTAAAGTTCGGTAGATTTCTAGACCAAAGTAGTTCAATTATAATAATATTTATCTATACTTTCGTTTACACTGTACAAGGTATTTAGAAGTGGCAAAGCTGTATAATATAAGCCTGTTCGCATCAGTGGGGGCATTCTGCGCCCTCTGATTTATGATGACGCAACTACTAGCTGTACAAAAGTAGCATTTTGTAAGGCGTCCATTTTATTGACTTGGTTATTCCTTCGCTTTTTACTCTACTTAGTGCTACAATAGCGTGGAAAGTGCACATTGTACATTGTAGTACATTGGCAGCCGCAAATTGAGTTACGATGTAGGATCTTTATATTTCTATTGAGAGTTCTGTCGGACCCACAACAATATGTCGTCGTTAAGTGCCTATCTCAATACATTTAAGAGCTGTAAATGTATGATTTATAAATTCAAGCCTCAACATATAAATTCTGCATCTAAAGATAAAGAAGTAATGATTTTAGTAACTTTAAGGACCGCCATAAACGGATTGAATCAAACAGTCCGTACCAACAGCTTCCAAGTAAGTAGTCAGCAGCGGACATCTGCCATACACGGTCCATATTTTGCATTCGCTAAACTGTTTACTTGCTCAAAGTAAGCCGTAAACAGTTACATAGTGTAGCGCTAAGGGCGCTTAAAACAATTATATATAAATACAATGTTGTGTTTGTTCATCGCTGTATAAGTAAATTATATATTTGCTAAAATATTAATAGAAATAGAAATATTCCGAGTATTGGATATTGTTTAAACTTTTGTACTGCAATCGATATTGGACAATGTTTGTGTTTTAATCGAAAAAGCTTTACAGGTCACCGGAGTGGAATATTCACAATATACTAAAAGTCGAACTGCTCTGAATTTCTACAATGTACAAAAATCATTCCTAGACCGAAACAGTCTGACTTTGTGGGAAAAAGTTATATTATACAGACTGGCTCGTCTCGTGAAATACCACGACCACATAGAAGACAGACATGAAGTTGATGCAACGCAGTGTGGTGCCGAAAGCCTTATTCTGCTCTTTCTTCTATAAGAAAAGGGTGGCCATAGAGACGGGAAATATTTACTTTCTGGGTCTATGGATAACGATCCGTTCAATCCGAATTCAGGTGGCTGCTGCTAGTTTGTCAACTTTAAAAAAAAAAACTAAAATGTGATAGCTCACTAGCGCCCTCTAGTTAATGTCAAAAAGTCACATGAAACTTTTCGTACTTAGTTAAACCGTTCCTAATAATTTTATAAAATCTCGTGAAAGTTGAATCAACTTCAACTTATAAAGAACTAATATTAGGGACTGCCTTTCATTAAGTTGCTTTGTCTCCATTTGTTTTCCGTTCGCTAATACATTCGTTTATTTTCAGTTCGCATCGATTCGCCTCGTCTAGCTGCATTGGAATTTCAAATACCAACTCGGACGTTCCATTACGTCTGCGATTTTAATCTGTTTGAATTCTAACGGCCTTTGTTCGACCATACAAGGGATTTGGATAATCTACAGTCGCGTGGCGAGCAGATAATTTTCTTGCATTTAGGCCCTTTGCAGACGGAGCAACTGTTTTGAAGAAGCGACTTAAGTCGCAAGTGACAGTGATCCGCGACTATTTTGAGTTGTTGCAATCGATACTTAAAGTTCTCTTCCGATTGCCACAACTCTGTTGCTCTGTCTACTAAGCACCTTATGCATAATATAAGTTTTTCTTAGACGCAGTGGTTTTCCGTCTTGAGTATACTTCAAAATTCTGCCTCAGCTCATTAGTAAATGAGGTTTTTTTATCGGATTCTTGTGTAGAAGATGACCTACATTTTTATATGAATAATAAGCTTTATCGTTAGTAAGTAAGATAAAGTATGGCATAATGGCCTAGCACGAATATTTGCGACACGTGTCTTTGTGTCTTCGTCAATTATGTTAAAATTTGTATGGCGTTTGTTTTTTCAAATTTTGTTACAAATTTTATCGTTGAGGTTACGAAAACGTTCTTACGAATATTCGTGCTACGACCACAGATAAACAATTTAATTGTCAATGTCAACAGTTTGTATAGTACTATCTCTGTCTCCCTCTCCCTCTCTCTCTCTTCAGTCATATGACGCCCAATGCTGGACGTATTACTATGCAATGATATATTATTACTTGGCGTTTAAATGCATTTTGTATGTTCACATATAATCTGGAAAGATAGAATAATAGGTTGTAAAGTCGATTAAAAAGGTAAGATATCGCCAACTTTTAATTTTTTTAACGCCTATTCTGTAAGTATAAAACACTAGTTATATAAAAAGATACACCTCCTTAGGTAAGAGAATAATGCAGATATTTACTGCTTTGTTTACTATCGAATAAGGCGGTCTTTTGTTGTTAGCCATTAGAGTCGAGTCCTTGCTGCCCTTAAAGGGACAATCACGGGCCTTCCTTCTATTCTAGTGATGTGTAGAGCGATAAAAAGCAGTTATAAAAT